AGCACTGGGCTCTGGACCTGGAGTTCTGGCCCCTAGAAGGTGGGGGGGTTGGGGTGGGTGCCATGAGACCCATGGTTTGCAGTGTAAGTCTCATACAGGGGAGGGCACAGGTGTGGGGGAAGTGGCCAGGAAAGGTTTGGGGATGGAAGAGAAGTGGCTCCTGACCCCCACTCCCATGGTAGTCTGGCCCTGCCCCCTGGTTGTCCCAGGGTCCCACCCCCACCCCCTGTGCCAGTCTGGACTGGCCTTGGCCATGCCGTCTGCTTCTCCGTCTGAGTGTAGGGACAGGCCCACCTTGGCTTTCACCCCCGGAGTTGGTTTTGGTCTTCTCTGGCTGTCACCCCCATGGTTCCAGGGCTGCCCACCCAGGACTGACCTGGTCACATGTGACTCTCCTCCACCTCTGAGGCAGGGGCTGGGGTCAAGTTCAGGTCTGCCTATTCTGTGGAGGTGCCCTCCTGCTCCATGGCCCAGGGCAGCCACACCTGCCTGGGGGTGCCCCTCACGTGCCTCTTTCTCACTCAGCACAACGCCTTCTGGGTGGGCGATGTGGTGCGGGTCATCGATGACCTTGACACCGTGAAGCGGCTGCAGGCTGGGCATGGCGAGTGGACAGATGACATGGCTCCTGTGAGTGACCCGGCGCCCAGCCCCACCTCCCCTCCCGCCCTGCCAGGAGACCCGCCAGTGACCTTCCTCTCTCCCCACGCAGGCCCTGGGCCGCGTCGGGAAGGTGGTGAAGGTTTTCAGAGACGGGAACCTGCGCGTGGTGGTCGGCGGTCAGCCGTGGACCTTCAGCCCCTCCTGCCTGGTGGCCTACCGGCCCGAGGAGGACGCCAACCTGGACGTGGCTGAGCGTGCCAGGGAGAACAAAAGTGCGCGAGCCCGGCTGGGGCGGCCGGCAGGAGGCGGGGCCACGTTGGGCCGTCCCTTGACTGAAGCCCTGCCCCGCCTAGGCTCCCTGAGTGTGGCCCTGGACAAGCTGCGAGCCCAGAAGAGTGATCTTGAGCACCCGGGGAGACTGGTGGTGGAGGTGGCCCTGGGCAGTACAGCCGGGGCCCTGGACCTGCTGAGGCGGCACCCCGAGCAGGCGAGCTCCCGACGCCCCCCCCGCCCTCCCTTCAGCCAGCCCCGGGGAGCGGGGAGGAGGACCAGGGACTGACCCGTGGGCTCTCCCGGCAGGTGGACACCAAGAACCAGGGGAGGACGGCCCTGCAGGTGGCCGCCTACCTGGGCCAGGTGGAGCTGGTGCGGCTGCTGCTGCAGGCCCGGGCGGCCGTGGACCTGCCAGATGACGAGGGCAACACGGCGCTGCACTACGCCGCCCTGGGGTGAGGCCCGGTCCAGGGTGCGGCGGGGGCGGGGCAGCCCGCAGGTCAGTGGGCATCGCGCCCTTCCTGCTCCCTCTCCTGTCAGGAACCAGCCCGAGGCTGCCCGCTTGCTCTTGAGCTCTGGCTGCGGGGCCAATGCCCTGAACGGCGCCCGGAGCGCAGCCCTACACGTGGCCGTGCAGAGGGGCTTCCTGGAGGTCGTGAGGGTCCTCTGTGAGCGCGGCTGTGACGTCAACCTGCCCGTAAGTGCTGGGTCCGCTGGCCCTGGGCTCAAGGACGCAATGGTGTTGACCTTCCTGCCGAGTGACCCCTGGGTCCCTGCCGGCAGGACGCGCATGCCAACACGCCTCTGCACTGTGCCATCTCGGTGGGCGCTGGCGCCAGCGGCATCGTGGAGGTCCTCACTGAGGTGCCAGGCATCGACGTCACCGCCACTAACAGCCAGGGCTTCACCCTGCTGCACCATGCGTCCCTCAAGGGCCACACGCTGTGAGTTGGGGGGGGGAGGGGCACACCCAGTGGACCAGACTCCCGTGGTGCTGCTGGGCCACTGGGGGCACAGTCTGGACCCCAGGCACATCTCCCCGCTCCCCCAGAGCTGTCAGGAGGATTCTTGCTCGCGCACGCCAGCTGGTGGATGCCAAGAAGGAGGACGGCTTCACGGCCTTGCACTTGGCCGCCCTTAACAACCACCGGGAGGTGGCCCAGGTTCTCATCCGCGAGGTGTGGACACGGGGCCCTGGACCAGCCTGGGGCCTTGGGGGTCAGGACCCAGCTGGGGTCCCTGGGCTGAGCCGGTGCCCACCCCCTCTGCCCTTTCCTCAGGGCCGCTGTGACGTGAACGTCCGCAACCGGAAGCTCCAGTCCCCGCTGCACCTGGCCGTGCAGCAGGCCCACGTGGGGCTGGTGCCGCTGCTGGTGGACGCGGGCTGCAGCGTCAATGCTGAGGATGAGGAGGGGGACACGGCCCTGCACGTGGCGCTGCAGCGTCATCAGCTGCTGCCTCTGGTGGCTGATGGGGCCGGGGGGGACCCAGGGCCCTTACAGCTGCTGTCCAGGGTGAGGAAGTGTGGATCTGGGTGCTGCAGAGGTGGGCCGGACTGCCCAGCTGCAGGCAAGAGGCGGGGCCTGAGGGACTGTCCACCTTGGCTGTGGGCGTCTGCCCAGGAAGCCAGGCCTTCGTGGGGGTGGGTTGGGCTGGGGCGCTTGGGTTTGCCAGAGGCGTTTTCTGCGACCCGTCAAGGCAGCGTGGCCTGACCAGCCTGGGAAAGGGGATGTGGTGTGGGGTGTGTGTGTGTGGGGGGTACCGTCTGGGAACTCAGCCCCTGGCCTAGGGCTCCCTGGTGGGGGCCCCTTTCCTGTCCGCCTCCTTCCTGTTCCCACGGCCTCAGATGGTGAAGGGGTGCCCGAGGCTCTGACCCGAGGCCCAGGCAGCCAGGGGATGGTAGGGCGTCCCCGACGGCCACTGGGCCTGCCCTGGGGCCTGCTCCGGCGCGCCCGCCCTCATCGGCCTCTGTCTGCCGCCCAGCTACAGGCTTCGGGTGTCCCGGGCAGCGGGGAGCTGACGGCGGGCACGGCGATCGCCTGCTTCCTGGCGCTGGAGGGCGCCGACCTGAGCTACGCCAACCACCGCGGCCGGAGCCCGCTGGACCTGGCCGCCGAGGGCCGTGTGCTCAAGGCCCTGCAGGGCTGCGCGCAGCGCTTCCGGTGAGCCCCGAGGGGTTGGTGTGCGCCCGGGAGCCCTCCCCCCACCGGGGCCTCTTTCAAGCCCCCTCCTCCCACCGCAGGGAGCGGCATGCGGGCGGCAGCGGGGGCGCGGCCGCGGGCCCGAGGCTGGTGCTGGGGCCCCCCAACACCGTGACGAACCTGCACGTGGCCGCGCCGTCGGGGCCCGAGGCCGCCGAGTGCCTGGTGTGCTCGGAGCTGGCGCTGCTGGTGCTGTTCTCGCCGTGCCAGCACCGCACGGTGTGCGAGGGTGAGTGCGGGGGCTGCGGGGTGCGGGGGGGGTGCCCGAGTCCACGCGCACCCGCCCGACCGACCCCCGCCCCGCAGAGTGCGCGCGCAGGATGAAGAAGTGCATCAGGTGCCAGGTGGCCATCGGCAAGAAGCTGCGCCCAGGTGCGTGCCCGCCCCCCGCCCCGCCCCGCCCCCCGCCCCGCCGGCCCGCGGCCCCGCCTCCCCTCACCCTTGCCTTCCCCCGCCCGTCCCCGGTGCCGGCCCGCAGACGGCACGGAGGTGGCCAGCGCGACCCCGGCGCCCGGCCCGCCGCGGCAGCTGGTGGAGGAGCTGCAGAGCCGCTACCGGCAGATGGAGGAGCGCATCACCTGCCCCATCTGCATCGACAGCCACATCCGCCTCGTGTTCCAGTGCGGCCACGGCGCGTGCGCACCCTGCGGCGCCGCGCTCAGCGCCTGCCCCATCTGCCGCCAGCCCATCCGCGACCGCATCCAGATCTTCGTGTAGCCCCCCCGCCCCGCGCCCCGGCCGCGCCCGCCGCCTTCCGGAGCCACGTCCCCCCGTCGCCTTCGCAAGCCCCCGCGCCGTGTTTTATAAAAAGATTCTCGGACTTTTCCGCTTGGTGCCTGCCTGGGGCGGGCTCGGGGCGGGGGTGGGGGTGGTTGTCCGCCCCGGGGTCCCGCCCCGCCCCGTCGCTGCCCCCGACCCGGGCTGGCCTGCGCGGCGCCCCCCTCCCCCCTCCGCTCCGGGCTCTGCGCTTTGGCCCGTGCCTCGCGCGTCCTGCCTTTTCTAGCGCTGACGCTTCCAGACCCCCGCGCAGACCCCGTCCCGGGAGCCGGAGTCCTGCCCCCGGGCCGAGACGCAGCCGCCTCCCAGGCTCCCGGCCTGGGCCGCGGAAGTATGGAGCCTGGGGACGTGGTGTCCGCCAGAAGTCCCGGTGTCCACCCCGCTGGTGGGCTCCCCGCGACCCGCTGCTGCGTCGCCCTCACTGCCCCTTTCTCTAACCCCCGCCGGCTGTGAGGTCGTCTCTGACCCTGTTCTCTCTCGGCCGGTGGGGTCCCTGCTAAGCAGAGAGTTGGGGAAGGGGTTTCGGGCGGGGTGGGGGCATGGGTAGGGTCTTACCGACCCTTGAGCGTGGTAGGCCGGAACAGGGCCCCCGGGGGAGAAGGCAGACCCGGGGCAGAAAGGAGCCGTTTGTTGGGGCAAGTATTCCGCCATGAAGAGCAGGGGTGCAGCTCTCCACTGGGCTCCGCAGCCGGACAGGGCGCTTTCCAAGAACTACCCGAAATGCTCCCCCGGAGCCTCCCGGCTGTCGGCCAGCCGCTCGGCACTGACCCCGCTGGCCTGGTGTGCCGCTGTCACTCTGGGCGCAAGGCCTGGATGGAGAACACGGAGTGCCAAGCCCCCGGCCCTGTCTGGCCGTGTGCCTCTTCCTCTGCTCACTCCCCACAGCAGCTCTTGTCTGCTCCGGCCCTCTCAGGGCTCCCGAACAGGCCGCCCCCGTCGAGGCTTCCAGCCTCAGGACGCTGATCCCCTGGCCCCCCAACCCAGGCCCGTTCCAGACCTTGGCCCCAGCCCGGGCTTCCCTGCTCCCACAAAGCCCGCATCTCGTTCGCTTCCCTTTTAGCTCCATAGGGTCTGCTGCCTTCAGCTACCCCAGCCTGGTTCTCTGGGGTGCTGTCCCCACGTCCCTGCCTCTTGCCCACCCCCAGTACTCACACTCCTCATCCCCACCCCTCTCTCCAGGACCTGGGTCAGGCAGCCGCTGGGGCAGGGGACAGGTCCCGAGTTGGCAAGAACAGAGCCTGCTCTCCCAGGTCTCGCTCGCTGGTCAGGGAGCTGGAGGAGCTCCATCCAGTGGAAGAGGACTGGGGACCCCAACTGCCTACCCTTCCCTTCGCCGGAGCCTCTGGCGTCTATCCTTCCTCTCGCTGCCGGGCCCTCCTCGCCCCCACCCCCCACGTGACCCCGCCCAGCAGGCCCTGCCCAGGCTGCTGCCACCGACCCACAGGCCCTGGGTCCGCACCCCAGGCTGGCGGCAGGACTGTCCTGACCGTGGGGACGGCCAGCCAGCTTGTTCCCTTCAGGGGCACGCACCTCCCCCTGCACGCATCCCTGTAACCCGAGCCGCTCGCAGCGCCTCCCCGCGCGGCCCCACTGGGCCCGAGGCCCCGACAGTGAATCCGCAGACGCCATGGGCCTCGGGGCCTGCATGTCCTCAGCGGCGTCGGGGGCCCAAGCCCAGGCCCGCCGGCTGGAAGCTGTGCTGGGCGCCCTGTGCCTGCTGCCCGCACTCCTACTGCTGGCCCGGCTCGGGGCTCCTGCCGCCCGGTTGGGGGCCGGCGGGGCACAGGTGAGAGCGGGTGTGGCTGGCGGACGGGTGGGTGGCCGGAGAGTCTGAGAGCCTGCGTGTCCCCGGGGGGAGGGGGGAGGAGGGGGAGGAGGAAGCCAGCATCAGGCCTCCAGCTCCGCCCAGTCCGACCTGGGCTGTGGTTAGTAACCTTCTTTTCCTGGCTGTGAAAGCAGCACGCTGGCTGGGCTAGAAAACCCAAACTCGCAGAAAGACCAAAGGAGGGAATTTCAAGGCTCCCTGAAGCACGCACCCGCCTGCTTTCTTTAGTTCTTTTTCCAAGCTTTTTCAGACGTGGGGACGGTCCCTACTGTGTCCCCACGAGCACTTGCTTTCCTTGAAGGGAGCCGTCGCCGCACCCTACCAGGCGGATGTCTTCGCCACTCCAGGACCCGGTCCTCCGCCCCTCCAGGTGCCCCGCAGACGCCGCTACACGCTGACCCCAGCCAGGCTGCGCTGGGACCACTTCAACCTCACCTACAGGTGTGACGGTGGCTCAGGACGGTGGGCGCAGGGGAGCGTGCCCTAGCCCTGCCTCCACCCTTGACCTTAACCCCCATCCCAGGATCCTCTCCTTCCCGCGGAACCTGCTGAGCCCCAGTGAGACCCGGCGGGGCCTGGCTACCGCCTTCCGCATGTGGAGTGACGTGTCCCCCTTCAGCTTCCGAGAGGTGGCCCCTGAGCAGCCCAGCGACCTCCGCATAGGTGCGCGCCGTGCCCCCGCCCCCGCCTGGCCCTGTGGCCCCCTCTCAGCCCTGTGCTCCCCCAGGCTTCTACCCGGTCAACCACACGGACTGCCTGGTCTCCGCACTGCACCACTGTTTCGATGGCCCGACAGGCGAGCTGGCACACGCCTTCTTCCCTCCGCACGGCGGCATCCACTTTGACGACAGCGAGTACTGGGTCCTGGGCCCCACGCGCTACAGCTGGAAGAAAGGTGATGGCCTGGACTCCTGCGGGCCCTCTGCACCAGGGTGGGCACAGCAGGAGGGCTTTGGGGGTGGTGGCTGCGATTTAGGGTCAAGTAGGCAGGAAGGGGGAGGCTGGGAGGAGGCCATAGGCCTGGGTTCCAGGAGCCCTGAGCAACCCCCCCCCCCCCCCCCCCCCCCCCCCCTGCTGCTGGAGACGGAGCTGGAGCTGCATTCCTGGGGACCGAGCTCACTGCCTCTGGAACATTCTTATCTTCCCATGGCTGTGCTGAGGGAGGCTCCGCGGGCCGCAGCCCCGGCAGGCCACGGTCGGCAGAGCCGGGAGGGCTGGGCCGGGGCTTGAGGGGCTGACCCGCGGGCCCCGCAGGCGTCTGGCTCACCGACCTGGTGCACGTAGCGGCCCACGAGATCGGCCACGCGCTGGGCCTGATGCACTCGCAGCACGGCCGGGCACTCATGCACCTGAATGCCACTCTGCGGGGCTGGAAGACGCTGTCGCAGGACGAGCTGTGGGGGCTGCACCGGCTGTATGGTGAGTGCTGTGGGGGCTGGGCAGCCGGGCGGGCGGGAGGGGAGGCCTAAGGCCTAAGGCTGGGTCAACCTCCTGCAGGCTGCCTGGACCGGCTCTTTGTGTGCACATCCTGGGCCCGGAGGGGCTTTTGCGACACCCGCCGCAGGCTCATGAAGAGGCTCTGCCCCAGCAGCTGTGACTTCTGCTACGGTGAGGCCGCGGCCCCTCTGCTGGCCGGCTCTGGCCAGAGGCGGGGTGGGGGGTGCCGCTGTGGCCCTCTCTGAGCCCGGCCCCTCCCGCCGCTCTGCAGAGTTTCCCTTCCCCACGGCGGCTGCCACCGCGCCCCCGCCCAGAACGAAGACCAGGCTGGTGCCCGAGGGCCGGAACGTGACCTTCCGCTGTGGCCAGAAGATCCTGCACAAGAAAGGCAAAGTGTAGTGAGTGGCCCTGCCCTGTGCCCTCCCGACCGAGGCTGGGCAGCGGGGACTCGGGACCCCGCCCAGCCTCGTGCCCTGCTCCCCGCAGCTGGTACAAGGACCAGGAGCCCCTGGAGTTCTCCTACCCCGGCTACCTGGCGCTGGGCGAGGCGCGCCTGAGCATCATCGCCAATGCCATCAACGAGGGCACCTACACGTGCGTGGTGCGCCAGCGGCAGCGCGTGCTCAGCACGTACTCCTGGCGGGTCCGTGTGCACGGCTGAGCTGCCCGCGGGGCCGAGGCCGCTCATAAAGCACTTTCTCTCTGAAGTCTGCGTGCCTTTCTTGGGAGGGAGGACGGCCAGCCTTGGGGCCCGCGGCGTGGGGCCGCTCGGCCTGTGCTCCGCTCATGTGGGGAGCCTGGGGCCGGGACACCCCAACTTCCCCACAGCTCCTTGGGGTGAGGCTGCGGTCCTCAGAGGCCCAGGCCACGGCGGGCTTTTCCCGGGGAAATGGGGTAAACGAAGGCACAAATGCGGAGCATCCCCAGGAGAGCGGGCTGAGCCCAAGCAGCCCGGGGTCCCTGGGAGTGTCTTGGGGTTGCTCAGGGGCGCGGGAGGCAGGAAGGCCGAGAAGGGCAGGCCGCTGTGCCCGCAAGGCCGCCAAAGGAATGGGATGGGGCTTGGGGCAAGTGAGGCCCGAGAGCGAGGGCCGACACCGGAGTTGGGGGAGGAGCTGCTGGTGCCAACAGAAGGGACAGAGTGGAGCTGGTGGACACCCTGGGCAGTGGCAAGCACCTCCCTTTGCCACAGCGACGCCCTGTCCCGCTAGACCGGGAGCCCGAGACCTGGCAGGCCTCGTCCACTAGGGGCCAGCTGTGGAAGGACGTGCCAGAGCTTTCCTCCAAGAACGTTTTACTGCCATCTTAAAACATGTTAACAACTTTGTACAAAACCCACCGTGGCCAAGAGCTTGCACACGGGCTCTGAGGGGCCCGGGGCCACGGATGCCCTGAGTGAGGGGCAGGAGGATGTGAAGCGGGAGCCTGAAGATTAAAAGTAGAAAAAATCCTGCCCCCGACCTCCTTCCACACCAAGGCCAGTCCGCCTGCGGCGAGCGCGGGATCTCGCCTGTCCAGGGTGCGCCGTCTGCACTGGCCTCTGATGGTTGCCCCCTCCACTCCCTGCATGGCAAGTCTGACACACTGAAAAAATACAGCCTTTCCTTTCACAACAAGGAAAATGTGGTTTAATTCTACAAATTTACAAGCCAAGATGAAGTAAAAAGCAAACGTGGAAAAGCAAACGAGACGGGCAGTCTGAGACTCGAGGTGGAGATCCGCGGCCACGCCAGCCCGCGGCAGCGGCGTCCAGGCGGAACAGGGCCTGGGTCTGGACCCGTGTGCTGCCTCCGGCACCCGCCCTGGTCCCGGCCAAGTCTTGCTGGGCGGCCCCCACAGGGCTGGTGTGGGCTCCGTGCCAAACCTCAGAACTTGAGGCTGAAGCCAGGGCCCGCGGCCGAGGCCCCCTGGCTGGTGGTCGTGAGGTGGAAGCCCGTCTCCTTCAGGTCGTCGTCGCCCTGGGGAGCAAGTGGCACTGTGGGGCCCCGGCCGGGCTGGCTTTGCCTCAGGGAGCCCCCACATCTGCCCTCCTCTGCCAGCCCGGCCCCTCACCAGCTGGCTGTATCCCAGGCCTCCCTCTGGGGGCCGTGGGCTTGTGCCACGCTTGACCCTTTGCTGCTCACTCTTGGCGGGCCACGTGGGGAACATCGAGGGGTCGATAGGGAGGGGGGTTTCTCGGAAATACTCATGCTTGAGGCCGTCCTCTGCGCTGACTCTCCGCCCAGGGAAGTAGGTTAGGAACCTGGGGGAAGAAGAGCCCTTGGCGTCCAGCACAGGGGTGGGGGTGAGGGCATGGGGGAGGGGGCGCACCCACAGGTTCACACACTTGTTCATGAGGTCAAAGCCCTGGTCTGACAGCAGCGCCCCAAAGCGTTTGCGGAGGTTGTTGTAAGGGTACTCGGTGAAGGTCATCTTCTTGACCGCAGGGAGGTCATTGTAGCCAGGCCAGATCTTCTCACTGGGGGTACCCAGGTCCTGAGAGACAGACAGACAGACGGGTCTCAGAACGGTCCCAGCCTGCAGGGGAGGGTCCGGGCCCGGGTGCCTGCATGTACCAGGCGGGGCGCTTTGCAGGCAGGAGCCACAAGACGCACCTTAAACACTTTGTTGATCTGATCGATTTCCGACTTCCCAGGGAAAAGCGGCTTCTGGGTCAGCAGCTCCCCAAAGATGCAGCCCACCGACCACATGTCCACAGCCGTGGAGTACTCCTGGGGGGCCAGGGGTGCGCTCAGGGGGCTGCATGGGCGGCGAGCACAGGTCAGGTCCCCCAGCCCCCAGCACTCACCTTGGCGCCAAGCAGCAGCTCCGGGGCACGGTACCACAGGGTCACCACGACTGGGGTGTAGGCCTTCAGAGGGGACCCGTATTCCCTTGCCAGCCCGAAGTCCCCGACCTGCAAGGACCGAGGGCTGTGGGCGGCCACTGAGGCCCAGGTGGGGGCAGCCCCGAGGGGGAGCCGCGGGGACCCACCTTGAGGATGCCCGCGTGGCTGAGCAGCAGGTTGGAGGTCTTGAGGTCGCGGTGCAGGATCCAGTTGTCATGCAGGTGCTTCACGCCGCGCAGCAGCTGGATCATCAGGGTCTTCACCTCCCCTAGAGGGCAGCGGGGTCACGGCCCTGGGTCATCTGCCTGCCGGGCAGCGACCAGGCTCCTTCGGGGCACATCCGTCCTGGGAACGTGCCCAGCTTGGCACGGCCCTGAGGCGCGCGCACGTGCGCAGCGGGAGCGCGTCAGAGTTAGAGGGTCAGGGTGGGAGGGTGGGAGGCTCCCGGTGGGGGCCAGCAGCCAGAGGGCCGCGCCTGTAGGAGTGACTTGGGGCCGAGCCCGCCGTGCCACGGGCCCCACCTGGCAAGAAAGGCTGCTTCATGGTCTCCATCAGACTCTTGAGGTCGTGTTCCACGTAGTTCATCACGATGTAGATCTTGTCCATGTTGCTGCCCACAACGATTTCCTGAGAGACAAAAGCAGGCGGGTGGGTCACCTGGGGGTCCCCTCTAGGCCCCAGCTCCGTGACCGCTGACTCTTGGGGCCTAGACACGCGCAGACAGCAGGGACCTGTTAGGGTTAGGGTTAGGTGTGGTAACCTTTAAGGGGCTGATGTGGCGGGGCCGCCAAGACTCCGTTTTTGCACGACACAGGTGAGCGCGACCCCCAGGCTGCCCTTGGGGCACCGGCCCGGGAGGCCTTACCCGGACTGTGACGATGTTGGGGTGCTGCGCCTTAAGGATGGTGTTGATCTCCCTCAGAGATGTGATCGGAAAGCCCTCTTTCTCCTTCTCCATCTTCAGCCGCTTCAAAGCCACAATTTCATCTGAAAACAGTTGGGAGGCAGGTTGAGGACACCTCCTTCCGCACACACACACGTGGCTGGGACTCGGGAAGGGCTTCTTGTGCACAGAGAAGTCTTGTTTTAACGGATGTCTCACGTCCGCACCAAGAGAAAAAGCCCAAACCTGCTACCCTGAACGAAACACGAGGCCTATTTCCAAACCGGCTTTCGTCCAAAACAGGTAAGGATTTCCCATTCTCTCTGTCCCTGCTGTGGTTTGCCAGGAGACACCGCAAACCTCAACATCCCAACACAGAAACATCCACCAGGGTCTCAGGATCTCAAGTGGCCTCCCTGAGTTTCCAAGATCCAGATGCGGTGCCAGGGAAGCTTCCAGGCCACGGCTCACACACCTGTTCAGGTGCTAGCGCTCCAAGTGGACTCCACACCCCTCCCTGGAGCCGAGGCACCTGCCGCCACAAGCAAGCAGCAGAGCCTCACAACCAGGCTGACCTCTGGACTCTACAGATATCAAGGAGTCAACCGCTCAGGGGCCCGTGAGTCATTAGCTGGTGCTTGCCAGGTAAGGCAAGGCTGTGACTGGGCATCTGCGGAGGGAAGACTCCCAGGAGAGGAGGAACTGTGTGTTCAATGACCTAGACACGGAGGGTGCCAACGGCCAGGATGGCCCGGGCTTGGATCTCAGTCCCTGCAAGCAAGTGGCTTAAGCAGAACGCCCTGCCTGCCTCCCTTCCAGAGTCCACGTGGGCCCAGCAAGACTGTGCAGGGGAAACACGCCAGGCCTGAGAAAGTGCGGTGGGTATGCCCAAGGACAATGCTCCTCAGGAGAGATTCCTTCCTGCCCGAGGACAGGTTCTCTGTGCTACCTGGCTCCTGCCCTACATCTCCCTCCCCCCACCCTGGGGTACCACGCAATACTGCACCCACCTGTCTTCTTGTCCTTTGCTCTGTACACCACCCCGTAAGTGCCTTCCTCGATCCTGTTCAGGCACTGGAACTCCTCCACGCTGCGACAACCCTGGAAGGAAGCAGGCCGTGGGACGTAGCAGCCGCGGCCGCGCTCACACCTGCACTCACACCCACACGGAGCTGGGGCAGCAGGCCCTGCCCCGAATGTGTCTGGTGGGAGTGCGGCCGCGGCCCCCCCGCCCGGCCTCCTCAGTGAGCACGCGCTCCTGGATCAAGAAATAAAACCACCTGCCGTAAAACCTGGTCCCGGGCGCACCCTTCTGAGCCAGGCCTGGTCTGCCTGCTCCTCGCTAAGATAACACCGGGGATGACGCCGCCAAAGCCCCGGCACCTTCCCTCACGGCACAGGTGACCCCAGTGGCAGGTGCCCACAGCAGAGGCCCCACTCTCAACCCCCAGCCCTATCCCCCGTCGGCCAAGCCGAGCCAGCCTTGGGGCGGAGGGACGCCTGACCTGCAGGGCAGGGAGGTACTTGGGCAGCTCCTGTTTGAGTTCAATGGGCGACAAGGCGGGAGAGTCGGGCACAAAGTCGCCCTCAGTCAGGGCGCTGCTCTGCGGCGTGCCCTCGCCGGCGTCCTCCTCCCCTTCCTCACTTTCTCCGGAGTCTCGGTCAAATCGGGACTCTGGAACTTCAAACGTTAAACCCAACTGTGGAACCAGGAATAAGCAATGTCATCGTCCCTCCCGTGCTCTGGGGTGGGGGGACATCAAGTGCATGCCAGAGCCACAAAGGCGACCCCAGATGTGTGCACCCCACCACTCTGGACAGAGGGCACTGGGGTCTCGGGGTTCACCAGCTCAGCCGGGGGCCTGGGAGCCGCTGACCGGAGCCGGGGCTCAAAGGCGGCACACCCGGGACTCGTGTCTCGGGCCCCGAGGCCAGCCCAGCTGCTGCCTCCCTGCCGCGTCTAAGCCACGGGGATGCCGAGGACTCGGGGATGC